AGTGTTCAGTAAAGTGGAGCTTCATGCCAAATGTAGCCATAGCAGTGCTCCAACTAAGAGTCCTCTAACAGTACCTGTTTAAAAAAGAAAAAGTGCTTTTACTTCTACAGCTGAAATAGCTCCCACCTTGTAGCTCTACAAGTGAGTGTGAACACAAACCACAGCAGAACCAAAAGGTGTTTTTCCTTTGCTCTGTCCCAAAACAGCTGAACTAAAGTGCCCTAAGAGTTGCTGTGTTCCTCCTCAGGAAGAGAACTGGGCTCAATGATAAATGGGAAAAAAAAAAAACAGACTTCCTGCTTGTTTCTCGTTGCTGCTGTAACCATTACACTGCAGTGAGTTGAGTAGATGTGCATTATGGAAGAATGAGAGTTAAAAAGAGCAGCGCTCCGCTGATGTCTGACCACTGGAGCAGGATCACTGGTTTCCTCTCAGAAAACACATTCCAGCACCGACAAAGAACAAGTGAGAGTGTGTGATTAACGTCAGCAGCTGCAGTCAGCGTGGGTTCACTTTGATTTACTGGGTCAGAACGATGGGCGCTGATGGTGAGCAGGAACGTTTGAATGTTCACAAAATGCTGCATCCTGGGACACAAGAGACTGTAGTGATGACAGGGATTCTTTTTTTCATGATGTTGACCCAAAAACAATGAAAAAAACAAAGCAAGAGTGAAGGAAAACACCATCATGTTAGCATCTTCCACCTCGATGTGGCTGAGCTGCAGCAGAGTAGATGTGCGGTGTGCCGTGCAGCAGGTATGGTGGGACATCCAGCAGCTGGATCTCATTACACAGTTTCCTGTGACGCTGACAAAGGAAGCGTTTTTCATTTTATTGGAGTGCAGTCACACCCAGCTCATTGCGAGCCTCTAGGTTTAGTGTGCCAGTGCTGCTCGCTGCATGTCAGACTCCAAGCACATGATCTGGATTAGCTGCTGCCATGCACATGCTGAATACTTTGGACTTATTCACACACTCACTTTTCCTGTCAGATCTCTGGTTCTGATCACTCTTCCTTTACCTCCATCTGGTCTTTTGTTTTTCTCCTGATTTTCAGTGTCCTCGTTTTCTCACAGTTGTTATTGTAATCAGAAAACCTGGACAATGTTCCACTGGGAATGTATTTTACTGAAGCCCATTTGACCCGTAGCTCTCCGTACTGCTACACTGCTCTATTTAGTTCAGCACAGTACACGTTCTAACCATGTGGGAAAAAAAAAACTCTTTTGGGGGAAAAAGCAGCAGAAGCAGTGAACTCTTGTCTCACATGTGAGGGCTGAGATCCAGCGGTGGGGTTTGGTCTCTCTGAATGTGGGTGTCAACAGCGCCTCCTGCTGCTCAGACACTCAACATGCACCTGTTGAGCTGAGGCCTTGAGGAATGAGAGGCATGTGAAAACTGTCTGCCCAGGTGGGTTTCTCCCCTCCATCTTGTTGTGAACTGTCCAGTGTTGGTATTGTACAGGAACAGGGGTACAGCTGTGTCTGGGATGTTCCAGTATTCTCATTACTGTGGTCAGATTAGAGGACGTTAATGAAAAGACTTGAACATGTGACTTTGAGCTTTGGTTTATTTTCCCTCTCCTGTAACAGTGAAACAAGTTTAATCAGTTAGCGTGCGGTTAGCACCAACCACCACAGTTCTCCTTCACTTTCTGCTTTCTGTGAGTCCTGCAGCGAGACGCTTTATCAGGATTTATTCCTCATTCACTCAAGAATTTAGGTGCTTTACAAAACCAATATTTGCAAACTTATGAAGTCCTCTGATACACTTGTTTAACATGTACTTTGTCGTTCCTGACCAGGCTTTGTCATCGATTACAGTGATTACACTATTGATTTAGCATTGATAAAGTTACTACGTGAACCGAGTGTTCATTCTGCGGCAAAAACATCGCTTCAGCAGCTATACCTTTAACAGGGGGATGCAGATCTCTGGACTATCGATAAAGCAGACAGAAATGTTGATAAATGGGCTGTTCGTCAAACCCTGGCATTCTCCGTGTGTGTTGGTGTGTGCGTACCATGTGTGCAGAGCGACCCGCTGACGGATGAGGAAGATGAAGAGATTGTCCGGAGGGTAAAGCGCAGATCCAGAC